TTCTTATCTCACGAATCAGCCACAGATCACCAATATCTGCTAAGTTTAGTGACTAACATGAGTTTGAGTACACTATTTCTTCTACATCTCTCAATCATTGTAGCTGAAACAAAATGAGCAGATCTCTCTATTTCATCTCCTGAAGAGGTTGGGTTGCAATGCTCTAGCTGAACCAAAGGGTTTGTTTAGGCATTGAAGAAGTAAGGAGTTGCTTAGCAGACCATCTATGGCTAATGATGCTACTGTCCTCAATGTGATGGGGCTGGAAACTTAAGCCTCTGAAGTTATCTACTTAGGTTTTGTCTAGGCCTCTCTTACTGGATTGTGTAGCCTAGCTCCATGTCACATAGTGTAATGGGAATTTTGGTCAACATCTCTAGTCGAAGCCAGAAGATGACTAGAAGTCTAGTCGAGACCGAAGATCATCTGAGGGTCAAGGTTTTTCAGGCTGGGGCTTGAGAAATATGGCTGCTAGACTATATTTGTTCCAAACTTATCATTCATAAAAAAAAAACCCAACAGCCAAAATAGTATCCTTGTGAAAAAGAGGGTGCTTGTGTTATAAAATGGGCAGTAGGTGGAGTGTATAAAAGGAGTATGAAGAAAATTGACTAAAATTGTTCATATGAATGAAGATAGAAAAAAATTTGAAGTGAAAATATCAAATAAATTCCATAAATTATTTAAGATGTGGTATCAGGTTCTTCAGTAGATTTAATTTCTATTTGTATGGTTCTCTTGTCTAGTTATTAGTAAAAAAAAAATGAAGCACAATAAGAAATGGAAACTTATGGTCACATGTGAATTTCTTGTTCTAAACCGTATCTATTAGAAAAGTATTCTGTTGATGGTTGTCTGTTCTCTATGAGGACTAAAATATCTGTCATTAGTCAATACAGCTAAAAAGATAGATTGATAAATAAGTAACCCTTTGGTATGTTCACTACTGACAAACCAATTCTATAACTTGCTTTTTTTATCCTCAGGATTTAACTGGTAACTCTGGCTGAACTCTAGCTAGAGTTACATTTATCTTGTTATTTTAAAATTTAAATGATTGGATAGCAGTGGAAAGTTTGGTATTTTGGTATGGTATGGGACGTCATTTGAATTTTGAGTTAATTTACATTGGCTTCTATCTGTGTGTTGAGTTTTAAAAAATAACCAAAAACTGCATTAAGCCAACTAAGAATAGAAACTGTGACTCAAAAGGCTTTGAAATTAGTTGGAATTGTTACATTAAGAGAGTAATGACTATTTTTAAATTAAAGAGGAAAAAAAAAAAAGGAAGCATGAGGCCATCCGCTTCAGTCAGTCATTAATCATCGAAATGAGTTTCCAGTATGAAAGAATTAGCCAAATCTAGAACAAGGACAAAGTTCAAAATGAGATATATGTCCTAATTTACAATGGATCACAGTGTGAGGTCTCTGCAGCCCCAACTGCAGCTCTGCATTCAGTCCTAATGTAGAATAGCATGGTGGTCTGCCAGATCATAGTCTTCTGTTCTGACTGCCATGATTATGGATAGCCATTAATGACAATTCTATTTTGCAAACAATTTTTTTGAGTATTTCTGGATTTATTTTTTTGGTTGTTTTTTGAGATGATTTGGTTTTTGGCTTTTGTTTGTTTGTTTTATTGTTCCAAAAGCTTGTGGTTAAGATATTCATTTCAACTGTTGGTAATCTGAATTTACATCTGTGTTCTGTTTGATTCGGAACAAGAATTTGAACCAAGTCAACTGTAATCTGAGTATTTTTGTTCTAAATTCTGACCTTTTCTTCTTTTACTCTTCCCTATTGAAGCTGTTCTTTCTATGCAAAAGTAGCCACAGTCCTATAGAGCGAGCAGTGGAGTATTTGATGCTAAGAAAACCCTTTCTCTCTTTCTTGGAAACATTTAAATGGAAACTCTATCTCAGGCTTAAGGAAAATTTTCTCAGAAGCAATACCTTCTCAATTAAATGAGTTGGCACTGTATAATGAAAATTCCCAGCAAGTGATATTTCAGGGTCTGCTGTTAAATTGTTGACTATGAATGTCACAAATTTCCTGATTTTACTACCCGTTTTTCTGTAAACTGGATAACTGAACTCCAGAAGAAGTGTCTCCTTCTGAAGTGAAGTAATAGTTCTCCAAGGGGAGCTCACCTTACTGTGAACAAAGTGGTAGGGTCTGGCTCCTAGCTTCTCCATGGCTCAACTTGCCAGTCTATCATGCTGTCACATAAGAAGAGCTGTGAATCTGTTTCTAAACATGTTGACATCTTAAAAAAGAAAAGGTATACACAGAAGATTTGAAGTGATACCTTTGCATGAAGTACTAGTCCTGTGAAGTCACCAAAGCCAAGATATCATCCTTATATGTAACTACATTCACTGCTGTTATTAAAATAACAAATCTGTTCTTTGAAAAGGGACTTATGTAGGGGAAGTTGGTTGCTATTAGTTTTCTTCCTTAAAAACACTTTAAAAATCCCTTTTGCCATTGTCTCTGCAGTCCTCCCTTTTATCAAACTGTCCTCTAAAGTCCACCAATTGCTGGGTTCTGCATTTCCCCATTTAGAGTTGATGCTGTTGAGTCACCTGTATGGCACCCTGGGGTATCAGGAGTGCAGTTTGGAGCAGCTCCGTGCTGAGTTCGCAGTGCACAACAGCAAAGTTATATATGCTTATCTGTCACTCCTCTCTTTCTCTCACTCCACTTTTCTTCCAGTGAAAACAGTCACTACTTGGTGCTACCTTGAGTATGCTCAGAGCTCCAAAAGACTCCAAAAGCCTTGTTTGGGTGTTTCTGGCCATTTTGCACTCCCCTCTGGCAGTAATGGATGATGTTCAGAGTTTGAGGGAGGAGACAGAAATGTTCCGCTGATATTTTCCATCTAGCTGCCATCTACATGTTTCACAGTTGTCTTTACTGCTGTTCTGTGCGTGTATATATGTGCCTCTTTCCCCTCTTAACCTTATGTTTTCTTTCTCATCCTCTTACTATTGATATTCACTGGCCGGGGTGTCGTACTGTCAACCAGAAATATTGAAAGCAGCCCATGAAATTGTAGAGTTTTGTACCACTTTATGTCTCTGTATCAAACCCATTACAGCTGTACAAATAATTTCAATCCTAATCAGTTCTCTGTTTGGGATTTTGCTGAATTTTAGTCTGAGCTGTGACCTTAACAGTTTTCTCTTCTAGAAACATGAGTGCTGAGAACACAGTCTTATTTTGGGGGAAACCCTCAGTCCCAGCTCACTTGTTTTAGATTTAGAGCTAAGTTTACCTCTGCTATGCCTTCCCTAAATGGGTACATTTGTCCCTTCGTTGCATCTCAACTAATTTTGTGGCCTCTATTCTATTGAAAAGTGATTCTCTACTGAAAAGAAAACAGCTCCTTTAAATACATAGTACCATTGTTGCAATACTGACACTAAATATTGCTGTAATATACTGGGCCAAGCAAATTATTTTAAAAGCAAAATTATTAAACTATGATCTTGCTTAATCCTTCTATAAACATTTGGGGAAGAAAAATATGCTTTAATCTTGTTTCAGTTCCACATTTTTTTGGTGAATAATCTGTGAATAATTCACTTTCCAGATGCAAAGTATTACTGAGGTATTATGATAAGACTAAGGAAAATACAACCAAAGATGTATTTCATTTAGAGGGTTGTGTGTTTGTTTTTCAAAATAGAGGCTTTGGTGCCACCACTCATAAAATGTAAAGGAGTCATCTTGCTTTCAGTCCACCTGCCCAAAATGGCTTGAACTACAAGCTTTGTTCCATTAGAGACAGTATCAGGGTCATACCAATGCTGCTGCGTTTCATGTCCAAAAATAAAACAGTTTCAGTTGTGCCACCTTTTGACAACAACCTCTGCAGCCACTGCAAATGAAATCTTGCGGAGTGGATCTGGGATTTGTTTATTCCTGCCTCACAGACATCTGTTCTTTCTCCCAGGTCCCCTAATGCTGGCTGCCTTCATGCAGCATTCAACCAAGTCAATAAGACCTTTGTCTAAATGTAGGATACAGAAAATGCAATTGGACCACACCAGAAATGTCTCCTGAGCTCTGGTTCAAAGCTATGTGTTGAGCATAGTTTAGTTACAATTTTATTAGCAGAAGTTGGCCACATTTTTTCTGCAGGACTTGAAGATGTTGAGTTGTATAACCTTTCCTACTAGGTCCTACAAGCATTGTTGTCTTGCCCGGCTAGTTTTGTCTCTGAATTGTTGAAATATTCCTTATTATATGTGTTAATTATTACATGGAACTAAACAATTGATCTGTCTTAAATCCGATCTAGGTGATTATCTCAAGCTGTTTTGACTTGACTGCTATAGAAAACTTGAGGAGAATAGACTGTATAAACCAAAACCACCCAGCCAGCAGAGAAATTAGATTAGAACTATGTCTAAGAGAAATCTTCATAAACATCTCTTATTACATCTTTCTTTGTCCAAAGATTTGGGGCAGAATCCTGGCCTCAATGAACTGAATGGAAAAATTCCAGTTGCTGTTAAGAAGGGCCAGGATTTTATTCCAAGTCTGTTAAATAAACCATAATTAACCTTCCATCATGGCTGCCAGATTCCATGTCACCACTTGCTTCCACTTTCTGAATTTAATTATAGTGAAAATCTGTACAAAACTTAAAAGGCATTTAAGGAGTAGCCAAGTGGCTTTCTCTGTCTATCGTTTTCTCTTATATGGCCAGTTAATTTAGAAAATGTGCCCTGCTGGCTTTCACAATTTCCTCTTGTAACAAATGTTAAAGACCCTACATTAACTTAATGACAAATTCTCCTTTGTATTGTTTGCTCTTCTTTTGTTTTCTGGTTTGAAGAAGCCCCACAGCTCACCACACTTTAATTAATGGTCATTAATTGTTTAAAACTTTGCCATACTCTCTGAATTAAATTACCTCCCTTTCTCCCCCAAATAAATACATGATTATTTTAATTATCTTTATATAAATATTTTTTCAGTTCAGGTCAGGAGTTCTTGCTGGATGTTCAGTATGCATTCGGACTGCCATTCTACCCAAAGTATGAAGAACAATTTACTCTGGAAGAAAAGAGCCTTTCCTTGCAAATTATGCAGTATATCTCCAATTTTGTAAATTCTGGGTAAGAATGTGACATTTAAGAATTACTATGATTGAGGAGGGGTTAAGGAGTAGGGAGAATGTAATCCAGATCCTGCCCTCGCTCAAGTAGCCTCTATTTCTTCTAACAATTTGTAATCCTACAGAGGGGGATTTGGTCAACGCTGTTGGAAAGTCATAGCCAAGTTGTCAAGCAGAGACCAAAGATTTGTAGTATGACATTTAGCTAGAAGTAACAGGAATTTTATCTCTGTGGAACAGCTGAAAATTCTACTTAAATATATGGAGGCTACAAAGACCTTGGTGTTTCCAGAGCTTAGTTCTAGGACCCCAATTCTGAAGTGTCTTGGCTGAAAGTTCCCTTATTCCAGAAGAAAGGGGAAAGCACATGAAGACACAGTGCACCCTTTACCAACTACCCTGCAAATAACCCTCAGCTTTACTTTGCTATAGCCATGCTTGAGAATGAGGACTATCTCTGGAAAGCTAGTATGGGAACTGTGACCTTACACGCTTTTGAGTATCTTGGGTTGCTTTGGGACTGAAAGCTGTTGAGGGTGTTCATGAGCCTGTGTCTATACAGGTTCTGTGAACCTGTTCCTTAGGAAGTGGACAGGACTAAAAAGTTACTGCCAGATGAGACACTGTGAACAACTCACCAGTCTGGAATGAATTTGAACCTTACTGGTCAGAGGGACTGGATACATGTCCTTGACCCAGCTGATCTCCTTCTGCACTTTACTGATCATGTCATTATTTTCTAATGATCATTTCTTCCATTGCCTTAGGAATCCAAACTACCCTCATAGTTTCTCAAGAAGAATGTCAGGGTTGATGCCCCCTTGGCCAATGTATCTGGCAAATGATGATGGTGGTAACTACAAGGAGTTCACTGTTTCCTTGCCGACTCTCAAAGGATTGAAAAAAGCAGACTGTTCCTTTTGGTCTGATTATATTAGAAGACTGAAAGCATTCACAGGTAAGAAGAATGTTATCTGTCATTAAATAAAACCTAAATTCTCCACTTAATATTTCCCTCTGTCTGTAGTTCTGTTAATATAATGGTTATGTCAGTGTGGTTTTCATAGATGAAACATCTTGCACTGTCCAGGGTATATGGTTGAGACTCTCCTGTTGCAACGCCAAACAAATTTATTTTAGAGCAGACAGCATGTAATAAAGTTTCATTGTCCTCGAGTTAGAGCTAGAGAAATCTTCATGCAGTGATTATAGAAGATATGACAAAGCTATATCTTTTAATAGTTTGCTATTTGCAGTCATAATGTAGACTTTGACTAAACTAGAAGTGGCCTCTTTTGTCTACTGGAAGCAACTAACATGAGAATGTTGACAATCATATGACTTAGGAGGAGCACAGTAACTTCTATCCACTGTAAAGTTGTAACTGAGGCTTTAGATATATCTCAGTATGAATCCTGCATGCTTTGACTTCACACTACATAGTTTCTTTGAGTTTTTTTTATAGCTGTGCTAGTTATGCCCCTTGTATTTCTCCTTCGTTGCCATAAATTTCCATGCAACTGTGAGATTCCTTCAACTTTTTCTTACTGCTTAGAACAATAAGACCAACTCTGCTGAGATTTCAATCTGCTGTTCTGCCCTGAACACTCAATCTATTCTGGTAAATAAACTCCCCATCATGTCTGTGTATGTTGTAAATAAATGTAGATAGCCTCAAGAAAAGCAAACAAAACCATCCCTTTTTGGCAGGCTGAGATGTTTTGAATTATTCTTGGAGGCCTGCAAGCTTACAAGTGTTTTTTTATGTCCTAAGGACTCATCTTCACTGTGAGCACAGTCCAAGCCCTTTCTGCTTTGGAGGGCAGTTGTATTTCTGGGAACAAAATGTACTCTCCAGGACACTGAGCTACCTAGGCTATCTACGCCTGACAGACCACCTCAAATGGACTGAGGCCAATGTTTGAGTGACACGAAGTATAATGTCTCAGAACCATGAAGCTGGTGGTTTTGACACAAGCACAAAGCCTCAATGCTTTTGATTAAGAGATAGTCTGAATCATTATTCATGGTCTTTCTTCAAATGTGCACTCAAGATTTGGCTGTAAGCCTTTTCTATAGTTTTTTGGTATCCCTCAGTGTCTTTCAAGATCAGAGGGCATGTTTTGATCTCTCTGATGACTTTTTGCTGGTCGAGATATTTGTCATTTGCCAAACTTGATTCTGATGTTTAAACAGTCCTGACTAGAGCTTCTAGATCTTTTGGGACTTAATGTCACAGCATTATGGCTATGTAACACCAGATTGAGTTGAAGTCACAGCTCTGGCAGAACGACTGTTGACCGAGCACCACGGACAGAGGCTACTCCCAGCATTTACAGAAAATCCCAGAAATAGATGGGAAAATATAGAATCATAGAAAGTTTGGACTAGAAGAGACGTTAAAGATCATCTAGTTCCAACCCCCCTGCCATGGACAGGGACACCTTCCTCTACCAGAGCAGATTACTTTTGAGATGGAGAAAGTTTAAAACCATCCAAACTGGCATAAGAATACAACAATATCCATATATGGGTCAGTCCAAAGATCTGCCTAGCTCAATATCCTGCCCTCATCAGTGGCCAAAACCAAATACTTGAATGTTAGACATAAAAATTGAGAGAGGGAGAGAAAAACACACTGAAAGAGTTCATAAAATGAGTCAAATTTTGGAAAGCAAGCCACACAGTGTGAGATTTATGGAGTATAGATTGTCAAGGAGAAGGTTTAAAAAGTACATGTCGACATGTTATTCTGCAAGCAGAAGTGAGTACACCCTGCTTGCTGTTCAAGCCAATATTTGCTTGGCCTCAGCACCATGGTAATGCAGCTACAGTTCACTTGTAATTCCATCTCATAGCAACCTTGGCTTGTCACCTTGCTTCGATAGTCATCTTTAATCTTATCTCTCCCTGGAATACTGAAACTTTTCGTATGAGTTCTATTTAAATAGGTATCACATCAAACCCATTTCTGCTCCAGACCTCAGCATAGGATGGTAATTTACAGAGACTCCTGCAGTGGTCTCTTGGTAACAATCTGAGCCCACCTCCTTCAGAAAAAAAGCTTCATAATGTTCAGCAGTTCAGCTAGAAGGATTGTATGAACTTCAGATGCTGAACACTCTCAATTTCTTTTTGAGAGGAGATTGTGCCAAAATTCATGCCAAAGCAGTGTCAGTCCATCAGTACAAGTTTATCGCTTGCATTGCTCTCAGCAGGAGCAGAGAAGTGGGACAGTAGAATGTGTTCAGTCTGTTCAGTCAAAAGAACTGAATTCTTCGTATTTTTTTTAAGCCACTGAACATCATGTTGCTGCTTGGTTGGTGTGCCTCCCTCAACCAAAGGTACCTTGCTGTACCTCCCTTCCGAGCTGAAGCACTGCACCTCTGTTTTTACCTGACTGCCAGAGACTGTGTTTCTGGAGTGCTTCCAGGCCATCATATGGGATCCTGGTGTGATGTTGGATGCTAGATTTGAGAGACCAATGCTGAAAACTATTTTTGGCTCATATACCTGGCACTCTATCCTGATGGGGAACTATTTGTCAGCTACTGTGAGATCCAACATGACACATACTTAGTGGAAGAAAGAGCAGTTTCCTGCCTTCGAGAAATTATAAATCTTCGTGATAGCAGTTTTGAACTGTATGATACACTTCATTCTGACTGCTCACTTTCAGTTGTTGTGTGTTGCGATTTGCGGCCTCACACCAAGTAGACAGAGTTCACGAGTGTGCCAGCAAGAGGCATTGCTAATGAAACGATCCAGTTTTCATGTTCAAGTGCAAAGCTATGGAGGGTCTATTCTGATGCAATCTCAACTGTGATGAATCCTGTTTTGTCCATCTCACCTCTTCCTTCAAATCAGTATCTTTCCCACTTCATATATCATGTCATCTATAAGCAAAAACAGAAATCAACATATTTCAGTAAAATAGAGAAGTACTGGACAAACCAGTGATCATAAAATCTAACTGCAACTGGCTTTTCAAAATTTTTTCTTGATCCTTTGTTTACTGCCATGTGAAATGCCTGGACTTAGAAATGTCGAATTAGGGATAACTAAAGGCTCAAAGCCCAGTGTCTTAGACCCTAGATCTCAGTCCAACAGAAAACTGAGTTACTCCTAAACTCATAAATTGCAATTTCTTGAATAAAACCTCTCATATTTAGCATCTCTTGTACAGCTGAAGTTACATGTCTTTTAGGTTATTCACTGCTGGATCTAGAAGCTGTTGTGTATATATCCAGCATAACTGATACCTGTAACTTTCTTTCCATTTAGTAAAAATATTGTCCAAGGGGAAGTAGATATTTCATTTTGTAATCAGACTGTAATATTTAGTGACAGAATGTATCATTCGTTTCTGGCATATACCTGAAATGTATGTTGTCGTAATTGAAGATAATTTACCAAAAGTCATTTCATAATGCAATGATTCTTCATGGTATTTACTGGCAGGGCCTTTACAAATTATAGAGGAAAGTTTGAATCTGTTTCATTGCAGATGATCAATAAATCTGTTGAAGTTTTGTTTGAAACCAGTTTGTAAAGTTGGCATTTTGAGGGGCAGTTTACCTGGGGAATTACGAAAGTAAGGGTGCGTGAAAAGATTGGGATTTAGTAAATGGAGTTCCCATGCTTGCATTTCGAAGACATGCTTTATATTTTGAATCATGATGGTTTCCATGGGAATTATCAAAACCAAAACCAAGAAGAGTGGCCATTGTGGAAAAAAGTTGTGGATGGCTTTTTCCAGGGAATGTGTTAACAACTTGCAATTCAGTTAAAAACAGGAGCTCCAGAATGTTTATGCATATTCAGACAGTATATCTGAATGCTAAAATTCCTCTTGCATAGTGTGGTGGACTGCACTGCATATCGGTGAGTCCCTTTATAAGGGGCCTCAGACTGCATCCCAAACAGGTAGACTTGGATTCAGTCTACATCTCTTACTCATCTAATTGATATCTAAACAGTATCAGTTCTCCTAAAATAAGTACTTCTGTAAGCAGTGTCGCAGCTGGGGAGGAGATACCTTTAGTGTCTCCAAAGTGAAATCTTGTCTGCCTAACTCATGTGCCTAAATTTAGACATTTAGGTATATTTTAGGTGTCCACATTAGCCAGAATGGACCTAACCTGCAGGCTTAGAGAATTCAATGCCTAGCAAAGCTGACGCTTTCTCCATTAGCTCTGAGACACCATGTGTAGCCACACAGGAGTCCAAATAAAGCAACGGTGTTCATAGTTAGACTTGAATCAAGACCACATCAGGAATGTTGTGGTTAGCATTCATCATTTACTCGTTCTATTCACACCTTTTTGGAAATCTCCACTAGAAAACAGATTCCTTTAGTATGAGCGACATCTGTACAGCAATGAGAGCACTCTGGCTAGGACAGATTAAATAAACACGATCAGTACATTTTATAGCACAGTTTGGTCTTGTTGAGGTAACTGCGTTTCTGAAACAGGGTGGAATAGAAACATAGAATCATAGAATGGTTAGGGTTGGAAGGGACCTCAAAGATCATCTAGTTCCAACTCCCCTGCCATGGGCAGGGAAACCCTCCACTACACCAGGTTACCCAAAGCCTCATCCAACCTGGCCTTGAACACTTCCAAGGATGGGGCATCTACGACTTCTCTGGGCAACCTAAGACTAACATTAAAGAATAAGGAAGAAGAAATCTATCAAGAGGTGGGTGCTTGGTGCTTTACATATTCCAGACAGACAAAAGAAAAATAATGCTCCCCACATTTCTTACCTGGTAGGTAATTATCAGGAGATAATACAAAGAAGACAAGAAGTCTTGCACAAATGGATTGCAAACTACTATGCATTCCACTGGCAGTTATTTAAAGCATACTGGAAGCATGATACTTGATTACCATTAGGTGATCTACCATTACTCTAAAGCATTTGGCAAATGGACTGCAAACTGAGAAAAATAGCTTCCTCAACAGTTATGGTTGCATAAAAAGGCTTTTCAGTGGCATTGACAAAGTGTATGTGTACCTTCTAGCTTGCGGCATCAAAGGTATTACATTTATTTTAATCTTAATTACATTGTGTTTTCAGGAAGTGCGAGTAATGGAGAGCCATCTGCAGAAAACAGCCCCAGCGAAGCTCCCAGTGAAGAACGTACTTCCCCGGAGAGTCAGCCAGTGGGAGACAAGGTGGCTTACAGCAGATAGAAAGTCACAGTGCTATTGGATGGGTTTGTCATGCAATTGTACATCCATGCAACTGTGGCATACCAGATGAACAAGTTGCTTCCTTGAGTTAAATTTCTGAACAAGTAAATTAGACCTTTCAAGAAAGTAGTCTTTCAAGAAAATTGTTGTATATGGCACAAAATAAGCCCTAAAGCTATTACTTTAGATCAAACAAAACTGTAATTTGAAAACTGAAGTATCAATAAAAAATGCAAAAATCTCAAACAGAAGTACTTGGACTTTATTTCCTGCAAGTACCCAAATGCCCACACATAATAGTACCCACAGCCAGAAAAGGATGTACATTGAAACTCTGAGAAGTCCCTCATCTGATGAGGCTTAAATTTGCCACATGTCATATCTGACTTGTTCTTTTTTGTTACTCATCCTATCTCAAACACTCCTATTGAGTGGGAGCCTGGTTTGGCATTCCAGAGAAAATTAAAAAGCTTCAAAATGGGGATGGGTTTGATCCAGGAAGAGCAATGCAAGAAGGGAATCAAGGGTGTGTATTGAGTGTGTTCACATGAAGTCAGGCACATGCTATATTCAGCTCATGATCGCCTGTGAAAATATGTATAAGACCAATTGGGTAAAGCACAACACACAACAGAGGTAATACAAAGCATATGTTAATTAAAGCTTAGATATGCTGTCCTTGGAATATTTCCGGTTTGTAAGAAGCAGGTGAGATACAGAATAGTTTCGGAAGCATGTAATGGACGAGCCCCAAGTCTCTGTGTTGTAAGCACCGCCTCAAGACAGGGTTGAGTTACGTGGAGGGGCTGAGTGTCTCTTCTCTTGTCTCAACCACTCCTGGAACAGGGATCAGGGAAGGTTCCAGAACTCCAGGAACAGGGGCCAATAGGGCCCAAACAAGGGCAACCCTCCCGCTCCTCCAATTAGTGACTCTCTTCCCCCCATAGGCAGGTCCAACACTGGATCCAGTTGGATCACCAACTCTTTCTCTCTGTCTCCTCTCTCTCTCCCTCTCCCCCTTTTCACTTAAAGTTGTTAGGTAGCACAAGGGTTACCTTCATTTTCTGTAAAGCTGCGTGGCTTGGGTGGATATAATTGTGAGAGGGCCAATATAACTTGGACAGGTTCCAAATGTTCCAAGTATTCGTTGTATAGAAGTTCCCCATTAAAGTTGATGTTCGTTTTGGACCTTGAGTGTTATCTCACCTTTGTCCACATTGAGGGGATTTGCGAATCTGAGTCACTCCCCCTTTTTCCCAGATGGGACATGACAAAGCATAAGGAAAAGTGCATCATAGGGTATCTTTAATGCCTCTGAAGGTAGTTTGGGTTAGGTTGTTAATTCATTGCTGGGATCATTTGGCAACAGATAATCCTCAATTGACAGTATATCACACACATTCATGGTACTTGAGAACAAAAAGTAAAATCAAGGCTGCCCTGAAACTAATAGCAAAATTTCCCTTGATTTCAGTAGGACCCAAATTTCCTGTGCAGTGTTGAAATGAATAAAACAATTCATAAAGTTGTGTTTTCTGCTTGGGACCTTTGCCAGTGCATGAGCAGTTACTGCTATCTGCCATGTATCCAGGTTTCCAAAGATTTTACCTAGCTAGAAGAAAAACTGTGTGACACTTACAGTTCTTATACGTATCTCCTGTTCAATAAACAATAAAAAGAACAGAAGAATCGAGAAGCTTGTTAACTGATGAAATACAAAAAAAAAATAAAGGAGAAATCAAACTGGTTTCCATCATTACCTTTACCTATGCTAGCTAACTAATAATGAAAATATTTAAGAACTTTTCGAAAAACCCAGATCTTAATTGTGTAGCACAACAGAGGATGCTTTCTTTGCAGCATTTGCGATTCTTTGGCCAAGACTAGGTCTACTTTTTTCCTTTGTTGAGACTGCTTCTGGAAATCAGAACACCAGCCAAATCCTTGTGTAATACTGATGTTAAATGGGCTATTGTTAGTGGAGAATGGGCTTAGTATAGCCATATGCCGGGCTGTATTGTTACACTGAGTCAAATAATCACTTTGGGGAAAAATGGGCTAACATTTTTAGTGAATCAACCCAATATCACATAGCCCCTGTTAAAGAGATGTTAAAAAGCTGTTGTAGGAACATTGGAATGCTAAATATAATGCTTAAATAATTTAAATCCTAGTAAACTATAAACATATTATTTTAATTATTATTTTATACAGATTAACATTTACAAATAGAAATGTATATGAAGAATTTTTTTTCCCAGCTGGGTATACTAACTTTGGTAATGTCATTCCAAACAGGCCAACTTCCCAAAAAGTAGTTAATCTCAATTAGCTTCTAAACCATCAGATCCAAAGAAAAATCCAAACACCTCCAATAAATTCCATAACTCCAAAAGGAAATGCTCAGCTCATCAGAGTTCCTTTCATAGTACTGTGAACATGTTTTCCGCATCACAAAATCATAAAGCATAAAATATAACATACAAAATAATACATCTTTGAGAAGTCGTTATTGTACACAGCAACTCCAGAATTAATTTGCTGCTCATGGAGCTGGTAAACAGAGAACAGATTTAAAAGGCTTCAGTATTGACTCATATTAGTGAAAGCCAAATATATCATCTATCCCCACCTACTATTCAGCTCCACCTTGAGCCCAGATATGCCTCTGGAATTTGAGAGGAGGTTTTAATTTTGAGCTAGGAATTCAGCAGCTTAGCCTTGTAGCCTCCTAATTACAGTCTTGGACATCTGGCAGGCTTGGCAGGTAGGTAGGTATGACTGGGCTTTTAGGTCACCCTTCCTGAGGTATTCAGCTCGACTACCAGTTTGGCAAAAGGGCCTTTTTCAAGTACAGAATTTTTGTAAAATATCTTTATTTCATTAGTGACTGACTGCCCCAAACCCACCTGGTTGCACCGGCTGCAGGGCTTTAGACCGTTCTGTCTCTCTCTGGGTTTTCTAGATGCTTTCATGTTCTTTTCTGTAGCCCACAATT